AAATAAACAAAAAAAAAATAATGTTGCCCATTTATTATGAAAACAACTGCTGTTTCCTGTCAAAAATGGTTTGAGCCACATTAACCAGTTTATTAACAAAATAGCATTTTCTCATTATTTTATTGAATTTTTTTTCTCTTTTTCTAAACAGGATGTTTTGAACAACCTGGGTTCATCAGAACTGGATGAAGATGATCTCATGTTAGATCTGGACCTCTCTGACGATCAGAGACTTCGACACGGTAAGTTCTATTAACTTAATTTAATCATACACAATACAGTGTTTTAAACTTTTTTTAATGTTTGGTTGATTTCTGAAAAAACACAACTACACTTGGATGTATTTACATTTTTCCTRTTTCTGTTCAAGTAAATATTTGCTCGTACTTCCTCATTCTGTATGTCACAATTGTTTTTCTCTCCACCTGCACTGATTTGCTTCTCTTTCTCATTCCTGTTGTTTTATTCACTGTCTGGCACTCTTGTTTTTATTTTTTTCTTTAAGTCACATCAGTTCTATCACTTATTATATGAAACCAGTATTCTTTTAGCTTCTTTCAATGTGTGACAACTTTGATCCAGCTACCTCATTCACAGCAATTTATCTCTTTTGTTGTTTTGGCATTTCAGTCACATTGACATGCTGCATGGATGAAAAGGGACTGTCGTTGCTCATGTCCTTCCTCAGTGCAGCAAGGACTGCCAAAATGTAACCTCAGCTTTCATACAATATATAAAATTTTTTATTATGGTGACTAAGTGCATTAGGCTTCTATAATATTCCATATAAGAATATGTTAAGATMAACTTTATCAAACAATCTCTTGATGCGTTCATCAGTTCATTTGTAGCACATTCATGTCACATGAAAGTAGTTATCCATTTTGATGTTACGAGTAGATGTAGTAAAGTAAAATAATTAGCTTTTGTAAGTACTAATGTTAATTACAGAAGCAGCACGATAAAAGGACCATTTCATAAACTATTGTAAATATTGCCATTATGTTGCTGATTATTTTATGTGCAGTTAATTGTCCATAAATTTAAATGGGTAGTTATTGTCCTTTTGCTATCAGTGGGATTGTGTGGAGTTCTCATGAGCAGACAGTATATTACCTGCAGTAGACAGAAGATGCAGTTTGAAGAATCAGTGAGAGATGCTCATGGAAGAATCAAGCAAAAAGCTGCTCAAAACACAATTCATACAAGAACAGATTTTTACATGCAAATCAGCTTAAAATTAAATTTCCTGGTAGTTCAACCAATGCAGTAAAAACCTGTTTTATGTATAAAAACATGGTTGAAAAACAAAGTAAGGTAAACCATTCACATTAAATAAGTACTCACTCTCTAGCCCATCTGTAAGCCTTGGACTGGCTCTCACAATAGTTTAAATCATGTCAATTAAAGGTAAATGTTTAGTAACAGTATTAAGTAAAAGACAATGTCTGGACTTTCAATACCACTCAACCAAACCCCTGTGTTTAAAGGGTTTAAAGAGGTTTGTGAGAGAATTTTGGCTCAAACAGAGCCCCCATAGAGTTGCACAAAATAATGAAAGCATCTCAACAGGCACCGTCTGATAAAGAGCTAAAGGAGGCACAATCATTAATACACACTAGCACACAAGCATGGATGCTTAGTCATTAGACCTAATGGTTTGCAGACTGTAGCATGAAATTAAAGGTTTGATGAATTATTCTCATAAAGTCAAGGGACTAAGACTTTGTGCTCGCAATAAAAGAATAAGGTTCTTCAACATAATCATAGTGAGTCAGTTAAAGACACGCGCCTGCACACACTTTCAGGTTGATTGCACAATGAAGACAGCCTCAGCAACATGCACAGGCATCTATAAAGATAAATATGCATACATTCACAACAGGCTATCCAGTATACACCCATCCCACACACTTACACACACTTTCTTCATTGGTGCTTCACATTTTTACCTCTCTCTTGTGGCCTGTTGAAGCCTTTATTAAAAAGAAAGCTGTTTCACTGCAATTTATGGCCGTTTTCAGCAGCAGGGCTGAAATCACACATCCTCACAGTAAAAAGTCAACAAAGGAAGGAAGAATMTAGAACTCTTTACTTTTGTCACCTTACTAAATTCACTCTCCTCTACAATGGCATGTTATATGCGCCCATAAAAACAGACATATCACTATTGTAAACAACCCATAAAGCAATTAGCCTAATGTCGTGATGATGGCTGTGCTTGGATGGGTTCACAGTGTCAAGAGAAGATTCAAGCCAATCTTTGACCTCCTGTTTCAACCTGCTCCCCTCTCCCTTGGACCCACCTGGAGATCGCATCCTAGGAAAAGAAACCAGCCAGAGGTAAATATGTGTTGTGCACAAACTCAACTAACACATTKTCACTCCCGACWCGTCACATATTGACGCTTTTCCCAGGTTCTCTCTGTGTCTTATTTTGATGCGTCGGGTACCCCCGTCGCATCAGTTATTGACACACCAGGCATTTCCGGGTTCCCTCGGCGTCCGGTTTTGATGCGTTAGGATGCAAAATGTAGGGGTCTTTGAGTTGGGGTCCGTGGTTAATATTAAGGGTCAGGGTTCATGGTTAATTTTAGGTAGTGGGGTCAGGGATAAGATGTCTAGGGCTAATATTAAGTAATTTTACGGTTTGAGTCATATTAGTTGACATGAATTTCCTACACTGTCTAAAAATGGTTAATTTTAGGGATCAGAGTTGATGGTTAATTTTGGGTACTAGGGTCAGGGACAGGATGCCTAGAGCGAATAAAGGTAATTTTAGGCTTTGGGACGGTTAGTTTCTGTGAATTTTCTACACTTTCTGAAATTATGACAACGGATTCCGCCCCATCTCGTCAATGACTGATGCGAGGGGGGTACCCAATGCGTCAAAATTGGACGCAGAGGGAACTTTGGAAAAGCGTCATTATGTGACGACTTGGGAGTGAGAATGGGTTGACTCAACATGTACTCTTCTGTGAATCCCACTGAGCAGACAAACACAAAGTTTCACATGATTGCAAGGATTGTTGTGTGATTTCTTTGTCTTGGGTTTTTAAATAGCAAATTCAGTAGTTTTATTTATTTAAAAGTGTGTGTGTGTGTGTCAAGGGTGAATATGGCTTATAATTTAAGACAATTTAAGCTCCCGAATACCATTAAAGTGCCAAATTAATTCAGTTTCTCTGAGCATGTTTTCAGAAATACAGCATTTATCAGTTTGGTTGTTCCAAACATCTTGGAGAGTTTGCCAAGAAATGTGAATTTGCAGTGAACACTTTGTCTTTATTCATGTTTTCTAGCTGTACACTAGATATGCCACTCGGTAACTTCCATTTATAGTCAGTATAACTGCAATGTTTTGCTATTTTTTTCAGGCTAACATTACTATGTGTATTACGCCAATGAAACTTGCACAGAGATTATTTTAACTCCTATAAATTTGTTACAAAATTTAAGATTGCCTTTAAAATGTTCTTACTTAACAAATGTGCTGACATAGTACAGTATACCATGGTATGTACATGATTTAATTAAATATTTATTGTAGATTTGAACAAATTGTCAGCCAAGTAAAAAAAAAAAGAAACCTTGTTTAATCCGTCTGTTTACAACCAGAATGTTCACCCAGTTCTCGATACCTGAAGWCGTCTGACAAATTCTCCTTTCAAGTTGAACCAGGTATCTAGACCTTTAAATGCCTTCAGGCTTTCTTTTGTATTCCTTTTTTATCCGTAAACATGTCCACATCAATATCAGGAAACCTGATATCTGCTCAGTCCTTTGCACACTTGTTTTTTGATAGAGGGGAAAGATCCATGTTAAGAACAAAAGCTTTTAAATTATAATGACATTAAATTGTTTTACTCCCAATCCCACAAATATCAGTTGTGCTCATTCTTTATTATACCTCTGTATTAAAACAACTGAAAGAAACAAAAATAAATGCCATTTTTCAATCACCATTTTCAGTTTGCTAGTCATGTTTTCTCCCCAATCTTGTGGTTTGGTTTAAATGTATCAATTTGTTTACTGTATTTGGAGGTACTTCTAATATTTAACCAAGTAAAATTTCCATGAGCCTCTTTTGACTCAAAGTAATGGATTTGGTTGTAAAGCCACAAAACCACAGGCTTACTCTGGACACATTTTGATTTTAAGCCAAATGAAAAATGATAATTTGGAAGAGACAGTTTATCGTGTTGGCAGCAAAGTGGTAGCAATCAATGCCCGAAAGTGCTAACGCCATTCAGAAGTTAATTGTTGCATGAAATAAACAGAAACAGGATCAGAATGTTACTTGAACAATTTTCGCTTGATAGGTAATCATCAAATAAACCTTTGATTGATTTTGAAAGCTTTGATTGTACCATCAAATTTTGGAAAGCATTATGGCAATGTCAGGGGGGCTGCGGTAGCTCGGTGGTCAGTGCGCAGTCTTGTACTGCTGAGACTCCAGGCTCGATCCCAGGTTTAGTCAGGAAAGGGTTCTGGCATAAAACAATTGCCAAATCTTGCATGTTTATTGGCTCACTGTGGTGACCTCTGCAGAAGAGAGCAGCTGAAATATATATAAAAAACAGCATTATGACCATTTTAAATAATMGGTTGTGATCTTGTATTGGTCTTGTAAGACACAATTTGTACACAATACTTTGTGTTTGCTACAGCTGCAAATATAACTTCATTCTTCCTGCTGTACACTCATTGACCAACTGAGAGACACAAAGAGAAGGAAAGAAGGAAGGAAGGAAAGTGAATGTCCATTCCAGGAACTGCTTATCTTGAGTGTTTTGTGTAAATGTGTGACATGTTTTATGCCTTTCACTTTCTGTGAAAGGAGGCAGAAAGGTGGAGGTGAAATAAATAAATTAATTCACTTGGATAAATGCACAAGTTGTCATTTGTCTCCTYGTAGTTCACAACTTGAAGGAAACACTTTCAGCTTCTGTTTTTTACATATTAGTACCTTTGACAAGGAGGATTTTATAAGTAATTTGATTTGGCCTCTTATTTCCTCTCTATGATTCAAATCTGGATATATTTTGTTCATAACACTGACTTGTACATACACACCCACACTTCTTTGTAAAGATGATTGCAACACACACACAGTGCATCTCTATGGATGGGGCTTATTTGGTTTTATGGAGCCAGTGGGTAATAAAGGGTTGTATCACCAGTGGTGTCTGGTGGTCTATCTGACAAGCCTGCAGATGATTATTACTTTACCTTTCAGTGCTCCTTCCTCTCCTTTCTAGTTGAATTTATTTTGTGTTTTGCTTCTGGCCTCCATAGAGTAAATATACCAGATCTGTCTAAACATGCTTGCTCTAAACTAGCAATAGTATTTGTTTTCAGGTTTGGGCTGGTCAACAGGTGAGTGTGGTTTTGAAGTACAGCTTGAAAAWTTTTCTCAAATTTGTGACACTATAGTTTCTTGTGCCTCTTTTTTTCTGCGAAGGATTTTTTAAATCCCCCCTATAAAGCTTGTTGAAAACTTTAGTGAATAAAAATACTTTTTCTGTCTAGACAGTTTCAGTGAATCATGCAATCAACCTTTTTAACCATCTAAGGCTTTTGTCAAGTTGTTAAATTTGTTTTGGCTTTTTTTAAAATCCCCACTTGCGTTTGGAAGTAGTGGAGGTACACTCGTTCCCTCCCACACACTTACAAATATTTGAARTCTTTCTAGGAGATTAAGGCTAAAATGTCATTCAGCTAAAACCCTTTTTTTAGTTTGATTGAGTTTGTCGTGGTAGATAAATCACAGTGCAGCRAGAAAATGTCAGAAAGGTAAAAAATGATTCTATGCTCTGTAATCCAATAAGTAGGAGCATAAGAATGTTTCACTTTACTGAAAAAAAAAGAAAATTAATGAATGAAAGCAGATTTTAGACAAGTTCTTACATTCTTATGTAAGAACATGTAAGAACATGTACATGTGTACTAGGGTTTATGTTTATATTTTTACTGTGCTCTATTCTCTTTAAGACGAAACCTATTGAATACTCATATGAGTAATTCAAGGGATAATTTAAAWTTTCTGTTAAGGAGTTCTGTGGAGTTGTTTTTAGCACCCATTAGCTTACCTGCAGGAGATAGCAGAGGGAAACTTAAAAAAAATGTATTAATTAATATCAGCTTCTTGCTTTTAGTAGCAAAGGGTATAATCAGCATTCTTTGCTAGGTAGAAGAATATACAGAATCATACATGGATACAGCATATATATTATATCAGGGCTATTTAACTAAATTGCTCCGGGGGCCACAGTTACTGCAGGTTAACAGCTCAGGGGCCAAACATCCAGCAATTTAAGCCATTATGTAAATAAACCAAGTATTACAAAGATCAGTTACCTTTCAAATAGTTTATTTTGCTGCATTTAATCATGAAAACAACATACAGAACCCCATAAAAGTAGTGATAATTAAAGAATATCAAAAACAAAAAGAATACATTATGTCTCCTATTTAACACAAATATTTTGACATCTCTGACTTTTTAAAGCAATTTTATTTTCACTTTCATAGTTTTATATTCAACTGCTTGTAATTTTAACTGTTTTGAATGTGCATAGAAATGTTTTTTATCAGCTTCTTGTCAAGGTTCTGACGTTTCTGTAGATACCAAACATGTCTATGTTTAACTAAAATAATTCATAGTAATTAAAGTAGAAAACCAGGGTTTTGGACTTAAGAGACGAATGAACCAATTGACGGACCGAACTTTGGTCACTCCTGGGCCAGATGTGGCCCGCGGGCTGCCAGTTGAATAACCCTGTACTATATTGTTAAATAGGCAGGCCACTGACACARATTTTACTTTGTTTTTTACTGTGATGCTTCTTTCAACATTACCTATCTTTGTACATTTCATTGAGCGTTTGTAATTTTCTGTCACAAATTTGTCTTTTCTCACAAGAAGTTCAGTCATTATATTGAAGACATTTCAGTAAAAGGTACAGTGCTAACTGTATAAAATATTTTTTTAATTTAAATGACTGCAGCAGATTATGCTACGCAATTTGGACATTTTTGTGTTTTTTTGCAGATTTGTGAAATATAGTGTGCCACCAAAATGTTATCCCAAACAAATGATAACAGAGTGAATGTAAAGAGTAATAAGAAATAAAGAGTTTAGTCCACTGAAAGAYGATTTATCCTCCAATAAATTGAGTTTTTATTCATTGACAAGGGAAGATTTAGAGCATTTCCGAGTCACTGAAGTTGTGAATAGCTGWTGGCAGGTGTTAATTTCTCACCATTTTAGTTCAGCTTCTTAATTGATTTCCTCCAACAAAGCCTTATCATACAAATTTCACTGGAAAATGTGTTCATTC